CTAGGATTCATGTGCAGCCTATTGAGGCCTGGATAGGCTGAAGAATTGGACAAAATGGCAGAGGCTGAGGGGCTGATGTTTTCATGAGAATAGGATCAGATCCAATAGAAAGAAGGCAGAGAAATTATTGAAAAGGGGGTGTTTCAGAATCTTGTATTTCCAGAGGCTGAAAAGACTGCAGATCTGGAGGTGAAGTTTCAGTGTTTTGATAGTGGGGTAGGGGGAGTGATATTTTTGAGGGCAGTGTGTTTTGAAGAGACTTTCCCATGTGTCAAGTTGCACCCATTAAGCAATGCACTGCCTTTAGGTACATAACACACTCTTAAATAAGCTACTTACTACTAAACATAGATTTTTATCATGGGCATTTAAAATTACACTATCAATAAACGACTCCAATACTTTGAGGAGTTCAAGACATGACACCTTTTTAGTGAAAAATAGGCATCCTAAGATAGGTGCCTCCATTTCTAGCACAGAGCTGAAGGATCTGACCAGCTATTCTGAGATCAGTTATGAAAACAGATGTTAGAAATGGCGCTGAGCCAGCAATCATCTGGTGGTATTAGCAAAGGAAAGTTGGTTTTGAGTTAATAGTAAAAGCCATATTAAGTCCACTCATCATATTATACAGGACTGATTATTATTAATAGGTTAAGTAGATGTAAGATAGAACTGGATACAGGTCACATCCCAGCTTTGGTTCTAACTCTCCCACCTCAAATGATTTTAGAAATACTACTTAGCATTCTCTTCCTTAGGTCCCCAACCATAAATAAGCACAAATTAGCTTTATCTTTTATTTAAAAAGATATGTTAATCTAAATGATTATTAACATGATTACTGTCTGCAAAGTGTTTTGATTAGGTCTAAGCTGATCTGGGTACAATGGGTTAATAATAGTGTCGTAGTATTTCATAGTTCAACTTACTTAAATGTAACTTTTGCTTGTTTATAAATGCAGCAGGAAGCTTAAGACAGATAAATTAGTCCTACATGTGTTATTTTCTTTATGGTGTTAAAACAGTCCTGAAGCAGAAACTTTTCACTAATTTTGAGGTTCTGACTTTCCTCCACAAAACTTCTCTTCATTTAGTTTTCCTTAACTCTTCTTCTGGGGCCAGTTATGAAAATAGATGCTTGCTGTGGTGAAGAGACTTAAGATGGATGAATGAAGAAAATGAAGTTGGAATGAATTAAGATGACTTTACAAAGGCATACAGAAAGACATTGTTTCCTCAAGAATGACTGAATGTAAATGAGAAAAATTTATCTACTTAATACAACCATATGCTTTGAAGCAGGATTGCTGTTCTGTAGCTCTTTCATATTCTTCTTACATTCCTTATGGCTGGAAGAGAGGAGCAATAGAGGGAGAACATTCTCAGTAAATAATTACAGCAGCACATTCTGCTGCTAGTTCAGAGCTTGACAGCAGCATTTCCATATATGAATTCTCATTACCAGGGCTGTGTCAGTCAACCTCATGAACTCATTGTGAGATAAGCTTGGGCATGCAGATTGCCTTGAACCCAAAGCAGAGTGCACCCTCCTCCTTTGTTACAGGTTTCATCTGCCTTGGTGATCTTGCTTTGTGAGGCTGACATCGTAGCCTTGGAAGCAAAGACCTTCTTAGACAGTAAACTTAGGCCCAGTGGTTGCTGAAAACTGTCCACTGTGGAAGATTACAACTCACATTTTGGTCAGAGACTTTCCTTTCTTTCAGCAAATTGCTTTGTGTTTTTCTAAGGCTTGGTATAACAAGTTCCCTCCCCACGACTGCAGAGGTCTTTTCTACCCTTAAGCAAGAAGGGGTCGTGTGGATGGAGACTTCAGTTACCCCTGAGTGTGGTACTTTATAATACAATGATGAGGTCAGGATTTTTATTATGGTCATACAACATGTATGCTGAGTTAAAATACAAACCTAGAGACTACTGTGAAAAATAAACTTTCTTGCTTTGGAAGAATCATTTTAAAATAGCGTAAAATATGTGAAAATGATTGTGGCACCAAAGGTATAGAGGATCCGAATTTCCAGACATAATTAGTATGCAAATGCAGCTGATGTTCAAGGTGGTTGCATTCTCATGATTAACAGAAATGGCTAAGAAACTAGTAGGTCATTTCAGCCCTGTTTAATTAGCTCACACACACAATAGTTCCTGAGTGTGAGTAGTGACACAAGCGTAAAGGGGCCACAAGGCAGCAAGTGATTTTTATTATTAAAGCAAATATGTAATCTAATAAATGGTTTCTGGCGTGCTGCCACAGATTGTTCATTTGTACATGAATTGTCTTCAGTTTACATAGTTTCCATTTTAAGGACATCCTCTCAGACATAATTGAACAAGAAAGTCTGCCTGGGACCTTTGAATGACGCTGACCTGAGACTAGCACAGATGAACAAAATATAGGAGCTGCACAGTTAATGTGCCTACCATTGGGCAGCTGTCTCAGGTATGCAAATGAAGCTATGTTCCCTGTTAATGAAGCCACAATGAAGCAAAATATCTTCTGTGTAATTTTATGAAATGAGAGCATACCCCAATAGTAAAGGACTGGCAGGAAGTGGAGTGTCTAAAATGCAAATTTCCTGACATTTCACAGCTACTAAAATAATTATCCTACCTTAGTGAACTAATAATAACTTAGTTAAAGGTTTCATTTAGTATAATCAAATGTAGTGGAAAAGACACATACTAAGATAAACACTATTTCTGTTTTAGGACTTGCCAAGGATAAATTTTCTTTCTTCTCTTTCTCCTACGCATTGAATGTCACAAGCAATTAAATGAAATTATTTATGTGAAATGGAAAAGTAAGAACATAAAGCAGTGATGTGCATGTCAGATGCAACTGGTATTTCCATTATGAGCCTCAAAGAAAGGAGCCTTGGTGTCTTAATGAAGTAATTGTTCTTTGAGCTCTTGAACTGTCTTCTGTTGTGCTAAAACAATTTTATTTAATGAATATTTTGAAATCAAAGCTATCTCACCTTTAGGTATTTGTGGAGAAAAACTACATTCAGAATCTGCAAAGCTTAAAGGAAGCCTTTTGAAATATTGGCATGTCTTTGAATCATTTTATATTCTGTATCTAGCACAGTATTGAGTATATGGTAAGCATTCTGCAGAATTAAATTGGTAAAAAGTCACCTAAGGGCATAGAAAAACTTTTGAGAAACAATTTGTAAATGTGAGTCAAATACCATAAAACTGTTTACATTGCTTTGACCCAATAATTTTACTTTAGTGAATTTATGCTGAGTCTTAAATACTGAGGCTTATGCACAAAGCTCTTTATTGCAATGTTATTTGCAATAACAATAATTAGTAATAATTAGTTTTGTTGAGTATTTAGATAAAGCATATCTTAACACATTTACTGAAAGAAACATGCAGCCAATAAAATGATGCTTGTCAAAATTAGATGGCAATGTGGAACATTCATATGATATAATAAAACTAAAAAAAGGCTGATATAAAATTTGTGTGTGGTGGAGCTGCAATCGTGTAAAAATTAAATACACATACCTAGAAAAAGTAATGCTGGCATAGCTTGTGTTTGGATGGAACTACTATTGGTAATTTTTGTTTCTTTAATTTTTCAAAACTACACATCTTTTAAAATGAAACTGCTGAATTTAGCTAAACATCCAGTTGTTATGTTAGAAGCTAGTTGTGTTGAACTGAACCTTTCTTTTCTCTCCCCAAACCATTTTCTATGTAAATATACTCATGATGTTTAATTGGCCACAAATAAGAAACCAGTTGGCTGAGGTAAAACTTTAATTAATATAAACCTCGCTAACTGAAGATTAACATATTTTCACAGATCTAAGATTCTTATGAAATAAAAAGCCCTAAATGAATAGCAAGTTAGGTTTTTTTTTTTCCAATATGGCTGACTGGAGACATTGGATACCAGTTATCCTTAGAAAGAAGACTTGTGATGGCTCACGCCTGTAATCTTAGCACTTTGGGAGGCCGAGGTGGGTGGATCATTTGAGGTCAGGAGTTTGAGACCAGCATGGTCAACATGGTGAAACCCCGCCTCTACTGAAAATACAGAAATTAGCTAGGCGCAGTGGCAGGCATCTGTAGTCCCAGCTATTCAAGAGGTTGAAGCAGGAGAATCACTTGAACCCAGGAGGCAGAGGTTACAGTGAGCTGAGATGGCATCACTGCACTCCAGCACGGGAGACAGAGAAAGACTCCATTTAAAAGAAAAAAAAAGAGAAAAGGACTCAAAGTTACAGTTGAAAAATTAGAATTTCAAGAGGAAAGTGCTGGACCATAGTGGAGAACTTGCCAGAAGCAGCTAGGGCACAGAAAATCAATGTACCAGGAAATGGCCATACTTCTTAAAGCAATCTCTGAATTCAATGCAATCCCATCAAAATATCAATGCTATTTTTCACAGAATTAGAAACAATACTAATATTCCTATGGAACCAAAAAAGAGCTCAAATAGAAAAAACAACAAAAGAAAGAAGCTAGAAACAACATATTCAAATGATACTACAAGGCTATAGTAATTAAAACAGCATGGTACTGATATAAAAAGATATATATATAGAATGGAATACAGTAGAGAACCCAGAAACAAATTCACATGCCTACAAGCAATTGATCTTTGACACGTTGACAAAAACATATACTGGGGAAAGAATATACTATTCAATAAATGGTACTGAGAAAATAGGATAGTCATATGCAGAAGAATTAAACTGGACTAGTATCTCTCATTGTATATAAAAATTAGCTCAAGATGGATAAAAGACTTAAACATGAGACCTTAAAACTCTAAACATTCTAAATGGAAACCTAGGAAAAACTCTTCTAGACATTAGCCTACAGAAATAATTTATTACTGAGACTTAAATAGCAAATGCAACAAAACCAAAAATAGACAAATGGAACTTAAACTACAATGCTTGTGCACAGCAAAAGAAATATTTAACAGAGTAAAGAGATAACACACAAAATTGGAGAAAATATTTGCAAATTATGCACCTAACAAAGGGCTAATATCCAGAATCTATAAGGAATGCAAACAACTCAACAAGAAAAACCTAACCCCGTCAAAAAGTGGTCAAAGAAGATTTTTCAAAATAACTTAAAGCAGAAACACCACCATTTGACCCAGCAATCCCATTAGTGGGCTTATATCTAAAAGAAAATAAATCATTCTACCAAAAAGACACATGCACTTGTAAGTTCATTACAGCACTATTCACAACAGTAAAGACATAGAATCAACCTAGGTGCCGATCAGTGGTGGATCAAATAAAAATTGTGGTATATATACACCATAAAACACTTTGCAGCCATAAAAAACAAAACCAAAAATGAAATCATGTCCTTCGGAACAACATGAATGAAGCTGGAGACCATTATCCTGAGCAAATTAATGCAGAAACAGAAAACCCAATAGTGCATGTTCTTACTTATAAGAGGGAGCTAAACAGTGGGTACTCATGGACATACAGATGACAACCATAGACACTTGGGATGACTAGAGGGAAGAGGGCAAGAGAGAGACAAGGGTTGGAAGACTTCCTCTTCTGTACTGTGCTGAGTACCTGCATGATGGGGTCAGTTGTACCCCAAAACTCAACATCATGCAATATACCTACGTAACTAACCTGCATATGTATGCCCTGGACCTACAGTAAAAGTTAAAATTATTTTTGAAAATTAACAAAGAACATAAACAGATATTTTGCAAAAGGAGACATACAAATGGACAACAAGCATATGAAAAAAATGCTCAATGTCACTAATCTCAGAGGAATGCAAATTAAAATCACATTGAGATATCATCTCACGTCAGTCAGAATAACTATTATTCAAAGTCAAAAAATCACGGATGTGGAGAAAAGTAAATGCTTATGCACTGTTAGCAGAAATGTAAATTGGTATGACCTCTATGGAAGATAATATGGAGATTTACCTAAGAAGTAAAAATAGAACTACCCTTTGATCCAGCAATCCCACTGTGGGTATCTACCCAAAGGAAAAGAAATCATCATGTCAGAAACTTACCTGCATTTGAATATTTATTGCAACACTATTCTCAATAGCAAAGATATGGAATCAACACTAGTGACCATTAATAAATGAATGAATAAAGAAAATGTGGTTATATATCCATGGAATGCTGCTCAGCCAAAAAAATGAATGAAATAATGTCTTTTGCAGTAAACTGGATGGAACTGGAGGCCACTCTCTTAAGTGAAATCACTGAGAAACAGAAAGCCAAATACTGCATGGTATCACTTACAAGTGGGAGCTAAATAATGTGTACACAAGACAGAGAGTGGAACAACAGATACTAGGCACTCAAAAATATGGGAGAGTGGAAGGGGAGTGAGGAATGAGAAATTACTTAATGAGTACAATGTACACTATTCGGGTGATGGTTACACAAAAGCCTAGATCTCACCAGTATGCAATATATCAGTGTAACAAAACTGTACTTGTACTCCCAAATCTATATTAAAAAAAACAATTAACATGTTAGAATTTTTTATTATGCAATTATTGGGCATTGTTTCCTAGAAGTAAGCATGTAACAAATGGCAGTTTTTTTGATAAGCTGATTTCATTTCACTTCTGATATATATATATATATATATATATATATATATATATATATATAGTATAATTGTATATAATATTATATATAATTATATTTGGAGTTGCATATAATAGCTGATATGTAATATATGAAATAAAAATAATTAAATTAACAGAATTAATGTAACAAAAAAGTTAACAAAGCTAAATTGCTTGGTTAAGTCTATGAAATAGTCAAATTGGTTTACTTCAACAAATTCAGTTCAGAATATACCAGAAGCTCATTATTTATTTCCAATTACAATGATTTTTATAAATATAAACATTTATATATAATTGATAATTTAATGAAAAAGTAAACTTTTGCTTCTTTCACTATTGTTTATAAATAACAAAACATGAAGAAACCTTTTCGAGAAATTTTTTCTCCCTCCAAATGCAACTACTGAGAAATTCTATATAAAATAACTGATGGAATCATAGTTATTTTATGACATACACATGCAATGACTATTAATTTTACTTTTTCATGGATGTTCCAAACCAATACTTTAGTTAAAATGTTTATTGTCTGAAGCTATGTCATCCTTAACAAAAACCTTACCATTATCGACTTCAAATGTTAAAAAGATTGAGTATAATAGTTAGGCTTATATAAAAAAATTGAAGCTTTCTCCAACAGGCTTTTTTTTCTTTTTTAAAACACACATGATTTTTCTTAAAACAGCCTGTTTGTGGCTTATTTTAATTTCATATTCAGATGTAGATTTGCCATAACAACACACACTGCCTAGTCCTTTGATGTGTACAACTTACAAAAACAACCAAATTTCGAAGTTGGTTGTCATCATGAACCCTGAAGATAAGCATACTTGCTATTTTCTAAGGGAAAGCAACTCATGATTTCATTATGAGAAGGTTAAAAAATACTTTTTTTTGTCTGACCATAAATTATTTAAAACATTAATTTTATCTTTAGGTTTTGTTTGTTGAGTTTGGGTGGATAAATGGAGTTAGTTTTGTGTGAGTTTTATTAATACAATGTAGTTTGTATTAATAATAGGAATTTTCAATGAATGTTTTAGAACAGCAAATAGGATGCATTAATCTCTCCTAGTGTGTCACTGTATTTAAGATCATATAATAAATATTAAATCAAGTGAAAATCATTTCTGATAAATATTCAATCAATCAAGCAATATTTATTCAAGGCCTACTGTAGACTAGCCGCTGAGGTAAATTGGTAACCTTGTTGGTTCTAAATATTATTTCCATCAGTAGATTTTATAGATAAGCAATTTAAAAATAAACATTAAAATAACTTACCTTTGGTTCCTTGAACTTGGAGGAAAATCCAAAAAACAAAAATAGCTCTTCTAATTTCCAAATACATTCTGGCTTTTGGGCATTGGTAATTCTGATAACAATCACAGAACAACCTCAAATCCCATTAAGAATAACAGAAACGTGAAAAATAATTAAATATTGATACCCGCTGATTGAGGATAACCTTCTTGGTTTACCTTTATGAGCGTGGTAATTTATGAAGAACATGTAGCAGTGTCTGTTTCTGGGATAATCTGCTTGTCTTTCCCTTAGGTGTAATCTCTGCTTAAGGGCCAGCTGGAGGAACCTTTATCTCATTAACCTTCTGGAGGAGCATCTGTCAGCCTAGCTCCAGGACCCTGAATGCCATTATAAACAAGTGTCTACAGACACACTTTTTTCTTAGTTATTCACCTGTTACAGTGACACAGAGAGCCAGGGGAAGTCCTGCCAAGCAGAGAATAAGGCTGACACTTAGGGTAGATGTTTCCAAAATGACATGAACAAGAAACCTCCATTAAAAGAGCTTAATTTCTATCCCTGAAAGTGTATAGTTATTCAATATGTATTAGTCTCTGCAGGTAGTGAAGCTGTCTCAATTCTCTTCTATGTTCTGCTTTATAAATTGCTTTTGATTTGGAATTACATACATGTGGCTTTTTTGATTTAAGGCTGGTTTTAATTTTTAAAATCTGTATGCACAGAGTTTAAGGAGTCAATTATTTTTTACAAAGTTTATGAGAAAAAATTCTGCCTTTCTTCTACCCATACTTCCTTTCAAAGGGGAGCCATTTTTACTTCATTAAGCTAATTCTTTTAGTAGCCTCATTTGCACTGCTAAATATCATGCCTCTATTACCATTTTGGAGGTTTTCACTTTTAGATATTATCAAATAATGGATGCTGAGAATAACTTTACTTCCATACTCACCTTTTCCACTCACCATAAACATCTTTCTATCCGTCTACATCAGTGTTATTGTAGTTTCAGTTTTGAATATTTGGTTTTACATTATTTTGACTATATACATGCTGCGTATTCCTGAGCCATGAAACACACTGTAATTACCACTGTGTATTGAGCTCTTGTGTTGTGGATAGACATTGTTCTTAGAGATGTCCATAGATTACCCATAGATTTCTCAATATGATGCTGTAAGTACTATTAATATTATCTCTTTAAAAGTATATGTGGCAGAGCCAGGATTTGAACCCAAAGAGTCTGGTTCAAAAGCCTATACTCCTTTTTGTTTTTATTTTTGAGATGGGGTCTCACTCTGTCACCCAGGTTGGAGTGTGGTGGTGTGATCATGGCTCATTGGCTCATTGCAGCCTCAACTTCCCTGGGGTCAGGTGATCCTCCAACCTTAGCCTCCTGAGTATCTGAGACTGTAGGTACATGCCACCATGCCGGCTAATTTTTTGTATTCTTTTGTAAAGATGGGGTTTCCCCATGTTTCCTGGGCTAGTCTTGAACTTCTGGGCTCAAGTGATCTGGCAGCCTTGGCCTCCCAAAGTGCTGGGATTATAGGCGTGAGCCACAGCACCTGACCAAGAGCCTATATTCTTCATCACTATCCATCTATGATACTTTTGGGAATTGTCTCATTGTTTTTTTTTTTTTAAAAAAAACCTTTTCTTAGTTTCTAAATACAAAATAATAAATTACCCCCAAATGTTACCCTGGATATATAAATCTCTTCATATAGTTAAACACTTCAGATAGTTTCTGTTTCCCAGAGCTTTCTAACCCTCTCCAGTCTGTATTATTTAATTTCTTGTCATTGTTTACAGCAGTCATCAGGGGATTGCTGTTCACAATCATATTGAGGGTTCCTTTAGCCTCTCTCTTGTATTGGATTCTGTGATTTCTGGATCCTGTATTGTCTCTTTCTTAATCTCTTGTTTTAGCAGAGCACATGCTGTAGTACATTACTGAAAGTTTGTGGTCAATAAATTTAAAATCTTACACGTTTGAAAATGGTTTCCATCTATCCTCATACTTGGTTGATAGTTTGGCTGGATATAGAATTCTAGGTTGAAAATAACATTCACTTAGGTATTGAAAATGTTGGCTGTAGAAATTCTAAAATTTTATTACTGTGGTCTTCTTTCTCATGGTTTGTTGTGGCTTTATACTTAAATTCCTTAAACATTATTTTCTTGGGGCATGCAGAGTTGGTCAAAGGTAATAGATTTTTAGGTCTTATCTTCAACTACAGATTATTTTTGTAATATTTAAAGAAAATTACCATCAACTGGTATAGAATCCTACTTATAATAATGTATCTGAAAATGAGAAATGAACTCGGTGAAAGCCATATCTATTTTTACATAACCATATGTAGGAAAAATGATATGAGAATGCAATAGACTAGATACACATTTACACATAAATATTCCTAAAATGCATTCATATTAGCTGAGGAAATAATTTTCTCTCGGTTTGCTATATAGCTTTATGTTATACTAACGTTTCTAACCCTGTCGTGAAGTATTTCTTCTTTCTCTAGGAAAGAAACCAACAATTTCAAGTTCTGAAAACAATTTCCTCCTAACAGTCTCCTTAGTGAAATGTGTTGCTTAAGAAAAATATAGGATAGACTAATTTGTGTTCAAGAAGATATCCTCTATCATAGATATGAATATAAAATTATTTAATTTGTTTTTAAATAACAGATATTTAAAAGTTTCTCTTGGTGGCAGTACCTTATGCCTTTTTCTCCACTTTTGATGAAAAATCTGGGAAACTAGTGTTGATAACTCCCACTTAGAAAGCAAGTAAGAATGACAAATATTCATTATTCCCAAGAAAATGCTTTCTGGGACCATCAAGTTGTTTTCTAATTACTATTGTGCCTAATTATGGGTCACTGTTAATTAATCCAGAAGTGCTTCTTCAAGGTGGTTGTCAACTATAACTATTATTCTTAAAGAGGTAAGCTTTCCCCTTTATTTTCTGGAAGAATTTCAGTGGTGCATTTAAAATGTACAAGGTAGGGTAGAAAAGGCACTATATTCTTCCAGACATATTTCTTCATCTGAAATCTATAAATACAAATAATAAGTTTTATATTAGTCCGTTTTCACACTGCTATAAATAACTACCTGAGACTGGGTAATTTACGAAGAGAAAAAGCTTTGACTAACAGGCAGGCCTAACAGGAAGAATGACTCAGGAGTCTCAGCCAACTTACAATCATGGCAGAAGGCAAAGGGGAAACAAGGCATGTCTTCTTATGGTGGCAGGAGAGAGAGAGCAAGGGGGGCAATGTCAGACTTTTAAACCATCAGATTTTGTGAGAACTCACTCACCATCATGAGAACAGCATGGAGGAAACCGCCTCCATGATCCAAACACCTCGCACTGGGTCCCTCCCCTGAAATGTGGGGATTACAATTTAAGATGAGATTTGGGTGGAGGCACAGAGCAAACCATATCATGTTTACCAAAATGAATTAGTTAATATCACAAAGAAATGATTTAATTGAAATAGATACAATTTTTTGAGTTCCTATTAAATACCAAGCTCTCAATTAGGTGCTTTATATGCATTTATGTGACATTTTCCTAGCACCCTTGTGAGGTAAGCACTATTTTTTAAATTTTTAAATAGAGGTTTTTTTATTTTTTGTAGAGATGGAGTCTCACTCTGTTGCCCAAAGTGGTCTCAAACTCTTGGATTCAAGTCATGCTCCTGTGTCGGCTTCCCAGAGAGTTGGGATTACAGGTGTGAGCCACTGCACCCAGCTCGTAAGTACTGTTTTTATTTACATTTCACAGTTGAGAAAACTGATAGTTAGAGATGGTGGGTACATTATTCAACTATGAAGCTAATAAAACTGAAGCAGGTTTTCTACTCAAGATCTTTCTGCTTTCAAAGCCTGTGTTCTCTCTGTTGTCCCTCACTATGTTCCCTCTATGGGAAAAACATGCTGAGCAAGTAACTGATACTGATTGGACAAATTAACACTGAACAGAAGAGAAGCCATGAAAAGGCAAGGTGTCCCATCAAGTGTTCACTGTTTACATTGTTTTTTTCCTTCACATTACACCTACTAACTTAAACATATGTAAAGTGGTTACACAGAAATCTAAAAGTTTTTGTCTCTGAAATGGTGTAGCCTTTTCTTTGGTAGTAGGACTAATGTCCTCTTGCTGTTTCTAGGTTTCTCTTTGTTCACATTATATTGGTTGTTGATTTGTCTCTCCAATCCAGGCAGGCACAGGGGATTCTTGATACATTTCCATCACCATCAAAATGTGTGATTAATCATGAGTAGTTGAACTTCTCCTAGAAGGAACCAGCACTAGGAGGGGCAAATAGGCACTGTCATACATATTAAATCTGTAATCTGGAGGGAATAGGTTGTATTAGTTATGAAAAACCCTAATATCTTCATCTGTATTTCTGGATATTTTTAAGAAATGCCTTTCTTGCTAATAGAAGGTTCACTCTGCGTAGCTCAGTTTTCCCGTCATTATTAATCGTAACTTAGAAATCAGGGATATAATGCACAGAAACACAACAGTAACATTAATTGGAATGTCATCTAAGGTAGGATTCCATCCCTTGAATTTACCCTCTGGATCCATCTCACTTTCGTTGTCAGCAAAAGACTGTAGGATTAAACAAAAAGGGATTCCTCAGACATAGTGAGGAAAGAAGAGACCCGTGGAACCTACCAAAAGCTGGCTGCACTAGAGCAAAAATAAAGGGAGGCAATGATAAGGCCTCAAGATGACAGTTTTAGTGAGGATGAGATTGATAGCAACCCAGATACAGAGGACCTACGTTGTTATTTCTCATTATTTTCTCAGAGACCTCTTTACTGAATCCTAGTGTGGGAAGGCTGAATAATCCCATCCTCTTGTGGAGAAATAGCAGGTTAGCCTTCCTCCAAGGGCTCTTAACATAGAGCTCTTTCCTGTCTCGCTTCCTTGCCCCTCTCCAAGTTCTTGGTAATAAATACAGCAAATACAGAATGAACTGATCTAGTCCATTGGTAAACATCATCATAAGCCACAGACTAGAAAAACACACAAGCAGGCAATTAAAAAAAAGTCTTAAACGTGTCAATCTGCGTGTATTTTGAAATGCCGATTTTTCAAAAATAATTAGCCGCAACTGCTAAGGAAATCCACATGTTTGGTCTCAGCAAGTTACATATATTCCCTTCTATATGTGGTTGAAGAAGTCATGATAAATGTTGCATATTCTAAGAGCACAGTGACTTGAATTGAGAGACATTAAAACCCAGTTTAAATGATGCTACTGAAATATCTTTGTGGCTTGCATTCCTCCAGTTCTTATTGTCTGAGAACTTAGGCACACGGCAAGGAAGTATGAATGATCAGCAGGGTCAAGGGTTTCAAAGAGAATCAAGAAGACGCGTGCTGAGCAAACTCTGCCGGAACTGTGATAGGGAGAAATCTGTTACCTTTGGGAGGTCATTTCAGTAGCTTAGTGGGGGAGGAAGTCAGCCTGCAGTGCATTACAGTGTAAGTGGATGGCGAAAAAGAGGCGGTGAGTGAGATTTCTTTTTATATAGTCAAGCAGCAAAAGATCAGAGAGAATTAGTTTAATCAGCTAGTCAGGAAAAAACACAAGCCTATTTTAGAAGAGGATTGTTTAGAGGCAGAGCAAGAGGCATGGTGAAAGTGTATTTGTAGCACAGTTAAGGGAGGAAGAGAGAGAGAGATCGAGATTGAGATCAAGATCTGCTAGTGCAAGATTTTGTCTGCTTAACAAGCACTTGCATAAAAAGAAGTTTATGAATTGCTTCACTTTGTAGGACTCAAAAAAGTGTTAGAGCATGAAACACAAAGACATATGCTCTTGCAGGGGCACACAATCTGAAAGTGATATAGTGCATATAAACATAACGAAATGGGGTTACCAGTTCAGTACCTTTCAAAGTGATGCCGTATGAAAAATGCTAGCCAAAGCACTTTAATCATAGTAACAAATATTTTTGAGTTTTTAGATGTCTTTAATTTCTATATTAACCATATTAGGTGACTACTATTGTCATGTTGCAAATGAGGACATTAGAGCTAAGGAGGTTAAGGAAGTTCTTACCATTTCATAGCTAATAAGTGATTTAAGCACAGTCTCTGATCACAAGTTAGAATCCTACACTTATTAACTGTCAGTAAAAATGAGTGAAATGCATGATCTGAAGTCTCAAATAGACATTCAGCAAAGAGGCCACACTCCAAAGATGGCTACTATAATCATCGATGTCTTTTAATTCCAATTAACACCAGAGTTTTAAATACTAGCATAATGAAGGATAGAAATGGGCATTCATTGGTGAAATTAGTGGCTTGTTAATTAGATAATGGAAATGGGTATGTACTAAGTGAGATTAGAAATAGTTAAAATTTGTGAATTGGTTAAAATATTTTAGAAGGATTCCCTGTTCTGACACAAGTCTAGTGTGTCGCTCTTCAGTTTTATGATGAAGTTGGACGCTCGTTCCTCGAGAGTCCTGTGGCCTAGTCATCTCTTTGGAGGATCCTTGGTAACTGATGATGAAAATGAGGCCACTTAAATTTGCGTATAGACTGTTTTGCATTTATACCAAAGAAAGCTCATGTAATGCATGGTTGGAAGGACTTCAATTCTTTTTTGAAACCAAACTGGGATTTTATTGAACCTACAGAATAGGTGATATGGTCTATTTGAGGACTGCTTACTAATGCTTGCTAATTTAATAATAGTTTGCATGTGTAGAAGATTTTTCTTTGATTCTTTCTTTTACTGAAACCTGGTAATAAGGTTGTAGGAGAGTAGCTACCTCTAAACCACTTTCAACTATTAGTACCCATGTAACCTACTAAACTCAACCTATTTGTATTTACCTAAATTGGCCTAGATCAATTTAACACATAACTTTGTTAGTTTTCTCTATAAATTAACTTTTCCAGTTTACAAAAAATTCCATTTCTCACCTTTTAATATTAACATCCTAATGATTTTCTCCCCAGATTTCACCTATCTGCCCTCTAGTTTTACTGAGAAAATTGGTATAGTCAGGAAGTCCTACCAGAGCAATCAGGAAAGAGGAAGAAATGAAAGACATTGAAATAGGAAAAGAAGGCAACTTGTCTCTCTTCATTGATAGTATAATAATACACTGAGAAAAGCCTAGACTTTGCCAAAAGGCTCCTGAGATAGATAAATAACTTCAGTAAAGTTTCAGGATACAAAATCAATGTACAAAAATCAGCAGCATTTCTGTACCCCCAAAGCATTCAAGGTGAGCACCAAGTCAAGAATGTATTCTCATTTACAATAGCCATGCACACAAAAATGAATCTAGAAATACATCTAACCAAGGAGGTGAAAGATCTCTACAAAGAGAACTATAGAGCACTGCTTAAAGAAGTGAAAGATGACACAAACTAATGGAAAAACATTCCATGCTCATGGATGAGAAAAACTAATATCGTTAAAATGGCCACACTTTCAAAGCACTCTACAGATTCAAGGCTATTTCTATCAAAATATCAATCTAATTTTTCACAGAACTAGCAAAACTATTCTAAAATTCATATGGAACCCATAAACAGCCCAAATAGTCAAAGCAATTCTAAGTAAAAAGAACAAGGCCAGAGACATCACATTATCTGACTTCACACTGTAAAGATAGTAACCAAAACAGCATGCATGGATACAAAAACGGATGTATAGACTGGAACAGAATACTCCATTAAAAAGTAGGTAAAAGAAATGAACAGACACTTCTCAAAGGAAGACATACAAACAACCAAGAAACATGTGAAAAAATGCTCCACATCACCTAATCAGAGAAATGAACATCAAAACCACGATAAGATATTATCTCATACCAGTCAGAATGGCTATTAGTAAAAAGTCAAAAACAACAATGCTGGTGAGACGGTGGAGAAATGGGAACACTTACACACTTTTGATGGGACTGCAAATTAGTTTAGCCACTGTGGAAATTAGTTTAGAGATTTCTCAAAGAACTTAAAACACAGCTACTATTTGACCCAGCAATCTCATTGCTGGGATTTATATCCAAAAGAAAATAAATCATTCTACCAAAAAGATACACGCAGTTGAAAGTTCACCAGAACATTATTCAAAACAGCAAAGACATGGAATCGCCCTAAGTGTCCATTAGTAGTGGATTGGATAAAGAAAATGTGGTACATATATACTGTGGAATGCTATGCAGCAATAAAAACAATGAAGTTATATCCTTTACAGCAACATGGATGCAGCTAGAAACCATTATCCCAAGTGAATTAATGTAGGAACAGAAAACCAAATACTGTATGTTGTCCCTTATAAAGGGAGGTATAATACTGGGTACTCATGGGCATAGAAATGGTGACCATAGACACTGGGGAGTACTATAGGAGAGAGTATGAGAAGGGGCCAATAGTTCAAAAACTAACTTCTGGGTACTCTGCTCACTATTTTGGTGACAGCATCATTTCTATCCCAAACCTCAGCATCATGCAGTATACTCATGTGAGAAACCTGCACATTTACCCCCTGAATCTAATATAAATTTGAAATTATTTTAAAAAAATAAATAAGAAAATAAGTGTAATCAGAGGGACAGTCCTTCACCTTTCCTCATCTTCCATCATCAACTGTTAACCATTAACCATCAACTATTAACCTAGATTTGGTATTTATCATGTCTATACATGTTTATATACTAATGCAAAAACATATATTTGTATTGTTTTTATGCATTTTCAAATGTTAAATAAATAATATATTGTACATGCCATTTTATAAATTACTTCTTTGGTCAACATTATGTTCTTGAGATTTATTTATATTAATATATTAATTTATTCATTTCAATTTTGTTTAATATTTTATTAAATAACTGCTGTTGATTTTATTCTCTATTGATGTACCCATCAATATACAAATTTCCATTGCTACCAATGATAAATGAGAAGTTCCTATTTCTCTACATTCATGCCAACACTTGAATTGTCAGACTTAAATTTTGCCAAACTGATGATTTTAAAATTGTGTCTCATCATAATTTGAATTTGCATTTCCCTATGTCTTAGTCTGTTCTCATGCTGCTATGAGGAAATACCCAATACAGGGTGACTTATAAAGAAAAAAGATTTAATTGACTCACAGTTCTATGTGGGTAAGGAGTCCTCAGGAAACTTACAATCATGGTGGAAGGGAAAGAAAACACTTCTTTCTTCACAAGGCAGTAAGAGAGAGAAGTGCCAGCAGGGGAAATGCCAGATGATTTTAAAACCATTAGATCTCATAAGATCTCACTCAGTATCATGAGAACAACATGGGTTACCCACCCCCATGATCCAATCACTTCCCACTAGGTGCCTCCCATGACATGTGAGGATTATGGGAATTGAAATTCAAGATGAGATATGGATGGTGACATGGCCAAGCCATATTATTCCACCCTCAAATCTCATGTCTTCACATTTCAAAACATAATCATGCTTTTTCAACAGTCCCCTAAAGTCTTAGGTCATAACAGCATTAACCCAAGTCCAAGTCCAAAGTCTCATCACAGACAAGGCAAGTCTCTTCTGCCTGTGAGCTTGTAAAATAGAAAACAAGTCAGTTACTTCCGAGATTCAATGAGGTTAGAGGCATTGGGTAAAAACGCACATTTCAAATGGGAGAAATTGGCCAAAACAAAGGGGCGATAGGCTCATGCAAGTCCGAAATCCAATAGGGAAGTCACTAAACCTTAAGGTGCCAAAATGATCTTTGACTGCATGTCTAACGTCCAAGTCATGCTGATGCAAGAGGTGGGCTCCCATGGCCTTAGACAGCTCCACCCCTGTGGCTTTGCAAGGTACAACCCCCCTTCCAGCTGCTTTCATGGGCTGGCATTAGGTGCCTGTGGCTTTTCTAGGAGTACAGGGCAAGCTGTCATTGGATTTGCCATTCTGGGGCCTAGAGGACAATGGCCTTCTTCTCACAGCTCTATTAGGCAGTGGCCCAGTGGGGACTTTGTATGGGGACTCAGACCCCACATTTCCCTTCTACATTACCCTAGCAGAGGTTATCCATGAGGGTTCTGCTCCTGCAGCACACCTGTGCCTAGACATCCAGGCATTTCCATACAACCTCTGAAATCTAGGTGGAGGTTCCCAAACTTCAATTCTTGTCTTCTGTGCACCCATAGGACCAACACCATGTGGAAGCTGCCAAGCCTCAGGGCTGCTCGCCACTGAAGCAGTGGCCTGAGCTATAACTTGGCCACTTTTAGCCACAGGCGGCAGCAGCTGGGACTAAAGTCCTTAGGCTGCACAGAGAGTGTGGGGGTGGGAGAGATCCTGGACCCAGCCCAGGAAAGCATTTTTTCACTCCTGGACCTCCAGGTCTGTGATGGAAGGGGCTGCCATGAAGGTCTCTAACATGCCCTGGGGACATTTTCCCCATTGTCTTGGTGATTAACATTTGACTCCAAGTTACTTATGCACATTTCTGCAGCCAACGTGAATTTCTTCCCAGAAAATTGGTTTTTCTTTTTGACTGCATTGTCCAGGCTGCAAATTTTCCAAACATATGCCCTGTCTTCTCTTGAATGCTTTGCTGCTTATAAATTTTTTTTTCTGCTATATACCCTAAATCATCTCTCTCAAGTTCAAAGTGTGACAGATCTCTAGGACAAGGGTAAAAAGTCTCCAGTTTCTTTGCTAAAACATAGGAAGTGTGACCTTTACTCCAGTTCCTAACAAGTTCCTCATTTCCATTTCAGATTACTTCAGCCTGGTCTTCTTTTGGCTAAAGACATTTAACAGTTCTCTGGGAAGTCCCAAACTTTCCCACATTTTCCAGTCTTCTGAGCCCTCCAAACTGTTCCAACCTCTGCATGTTACTCAGTTCCAAAGTCGCTTCCACATTTTCAGGTATTCCTATAGTAGCACCCAACTCCTGGTACCAATTTGCTGTATTAGTTGGTTCTTATGCTGCTATGAAGAAATACCTGAGACTAGATGTTTATAAGAAAAAGAGGTTTAATTTATTCACAGTTCTATATGGCTGGAGAGGCCTCAGGAAACTTATAATCATGGTGGAATGGGAAGCAAATGCTTTCTTCTTCACAAGGGAGCAGGAGAGAGAAGTGCCAGCAGGGAAATGCCAGATGCTTATAAAACCATCAGATCTCATGGAAGCTCACTCACTATCATGAGAGTGAGTGAGCTTCCATGAGATCTGATGGTTTTATAACCACACCCCCAGCCACTTCCCGCCAGGTCCGTCTCATGACACGTGGGGATTATGGAAACTACAAGGTGAGATTTGGGTGGAGACATAGACAAATCATATTACTCTGATATCTAGGAATATAGAACAGATTTTCATATGTGTATTGGTTTTGGTTTTTCTTTCTTTCAAATTGCCTATTCATGTCTTTTGTCCGTTTGCCTTAGCATTATGAATGAATAGCTCACCATTTCTCCCCTGCCTTGTAATGCCATGTGTATCTTATATTGTTTCCTAGATCTCTATGTTGTCTTATGGGTTTGATAATTTACTTGTGTAATTCTCTTATTTACTGTAGTTTTGTAATAAAATTTGATATCTGATAGACCATATCTCCCAGTTCTTTCTTCAAAGTATTTGTAGAAATTTCTAGTTCTTTGTATTTCCATATTAATTTTAAGAATATTATGTCAAGACCATGAAAACCCTTAAGACATTTTCACTAAATTTTGTTTTGTGAAAATTTGCGGAAAAAATTGGACAGAATTGAAATATTTTTATCTTGAGTTTTATTATCCCTAAATGTGGCATATATTTCATTTCTCTCCAACTTATTCTTATCAGGCTTCTTTTCTCAACAATCCATTGAATCTGGTTTTATTGCCAGGATCATGAATAACCTCAGCTTGTCAAATCCAGTGGCCACTTCTCTGTTTTTTCCTTGCTTGACTCTTCAGTAATCTGAAGGTTTTTCTACCAGCTCAGCATCTCTATAGTCTCAGTTTAGATGTCACCTCTTTAGAAAGTTATTTTTCCATTGTGCAATTTGTAGTTGACATACAGTGACTTCCTCCACATAACTTTGAATTCTTTTTTTGCTCCTTCCCTCTCTTCTGGTTGAATTTACATACCCCTCATCTCTAATATGACCTCTGTCAACATCCTGACTTATCTTACACCACTTTCTCTTTTGCTAATTATGTTTTCCTTTTCCTTTTTCCAATACATCAAACTGGTCCTCAAACTACGGACATCTTACTTACTTTTTTCTCTGTCTAGGGCTCTCTTGTCTTAAAGATATTTGTGTGATTCTCTCCTCACCGGCTGTCACCTCCAAAGAGGACTTCCTTGACAGCCCAGTCTGAAACCACTCTCCAGTTATCACCACACAAACCCACTGTATTGTTTAAAAAGTTTGGCCTCTGATTAGAAATTATCTTGTTTTTGCATTTGCTTGTTTATTACTAATTTACCCCTAACCTCATCTCACAGAATATATGCTACATAAGAGTAGTAACCTTCTTTATTTTGTATACATTAATACTCAGAACACTGCTTAGCCCAGAGTTGGTGTTTAACAAATATTTAAAATGAAATAAGTGAATAAAATAAGCCACACTGTAGCCTAAGACTTATGAAATCCATAGTCATTTATTAAATGAAAACACTATTATCTGTGAACTGACAGGAAGAAAGGATGTAGGTCTCATGTCTAACAAAATAAATTATTATAGTTGACATATGGCCTTGATAAGTTAACAAATAATTGTTTATA